TGCCAATCCATTGCGTTTTCTGTAGATCCTGCGTCCAGGACCGGCTGCAGTCCCAAGAGTCCGCACCATTCTGGCAGGGCTATCGGTGGGATGTTCAAGGAGGAACAGAAAGACGGTAGATCTTCGGGGTTTCTCAAGTTAAAGGTGTGACCACCATCCTGTACTGAAAGGCAGAAGGGAAATCTCCACCTATAGGACAGATTTCGGGAGCGAAGCGTGTCTAGTAATGGACGCAAGGCTCGCCTTTGGCGTAAGGTCATGTTGGATAGGTCCTGGTACAATTGTATTTCCGCCCCTTTGTACATTAGCTGTCTTCTGTCCCTAGCGCATCTGAGAACATCCTCCTTGAGCGGGAAGCTGAAAATGCAGCATACCACATCCCTGGGTGGGTCTGCGTCACCCCCCCTAGGCCGGATGGCCCTATGTACACGCTCAATGTCAATTGGGGTTGCTGGTCATTAAAGATGGTAGTTACTGCCTTAGGAATGTCAGTGGCTTCCACGGATTCCGGCATGCCACGGATTCTGATATTGTGTCTATGGCCACGGTTGTCTAAATCCTCGATATGCTTGTAAAAATCCCGGATAGTCGAGGTGTGCGACTCTGACTGTCGCTGTAAATATACTATGGCAGTCTTATTTTGTCTAGCGGCCATCTCTACTTGATCCACTCTGGACCCCATAGCGCGGATATCCTCGCGCAGGCCGTTAAGGGCAGTGGTCAGTGTAGTGGTTAGTGTGACCTTAATGTCAGCAGCCACCGCTTGTAAGTCCCTTAATGAGAGGGACTGTGTGGCAGAGGAGATATCATGGTGTGGCACTGTGTCCTGGCCAGCGTGTGTCTCAGTGCAGGGAGAGCAGCCTGTGTCCTCGGCTGCAGAGGGAGGGGGAGAGGGGGACTGAGAGAGAGAGAGAGAAGGCTGCGGCCCTGCTCTCTGCTGGTGGGAGCTGAACAGCTCCTTTATGTGCCTCCCAGTGGTGCTAGGGCCCCTCGGGGACCGGGACCGCGCACCGGAGGACACCCTGTCGGGTTTCCCCATAGCGAAGGGGCACTGTCTCACCCGACTCCTCTGTGCGGCGTGGTGGATCGATCCGGCCGGCGGGAGCTCCGGATTCAAGCGGCCATGCTCGTCGGCGTCTAGCCACGCCCCCCCCCATCCCGGAGATATTGCTTTAATATTTGGTTTGTCCTTTCTCTTTGTTCATTAGATTGTGGATGAAAAGTAGCTGACAGTTTGACTTTAATCCCCAGCATAGAACAGAAAGTGAATATCATATTTGTGAAGTGATCTGAGCTCCTTGATCAGATATCTCAAATTGAAGATCATTTAGTCTACACATTTCTCAAATTAGCAATTCTACTGTGTCGTTAGCTATAGACATTCCAATAATAGGCAAACAAATGAACCATATTTCTTAGACAATCTACTACTACCAGCAGTTGTAAACTCTTTTGATGGTGGTAGGTCAACAATAAAATCCATAGAAAGGGACCCTGATGGGTGGGTTTGTACAGGGAGAGGTTGTAGTAGACCAACAAGAAGGGATCTTTTTACTTTATTGCTTGCACAATTCTCCCATGAAAAGGACATAATCTTGTTCATCTTTTAGATAAGTAAGCCACCAAAAGAAATGGGTAAGGTGTTTTATTATCTTTCCAATTCCTAGGCAGCTAGCAGATTTTGTATCATGCACCAATTGTAGAATCTTAAGGTGTGCTTCTTCAGGAAAATACAGTCTATTCCCAAAAGTCAAGTAGCCATCATTAGAGTACATATGGATTTTGTTGGTGGTTTTTTTCAGATTGTATTCCCATCATAAATTTCTTCGATTTTAGTGTCCCCGAAAGTTTTTTCTCAAAACATAGTGCCAAGTAGTTCCACGTTTGTATAAAGAGTCATTTGCAATTTTTGACAAGGAATTATACATTTAAACCTGTAAGAAAAGCGTACATCTAGCCTGTCTTGCAGAAAGCCTTTTTGTTGATAGTATGAAATTCTTGAATTTATCATAAGTGAGGGCAGTTACTGGGTGTGAGGCGACCCCTGGGAGGTATCACCATGCAATAAATTTTATTGCTAAAAGTTCTTTGTTTCTGATGTCATAGTTCTGCTCTTCCTATGTCATCTGGTGTGAGTAGTATGCACATGAATTTAATAACATTTTCTCACCATTTCTGTGATAGAGCTGCTCCAATGGCTACTATTCTACTACAAAAGGCAAGAATGAACCAGCACAGCTGCAGTGGTGAATAAGGGTTTCAAGTGCAAGAAAATGTGTTCATTTCCTAGTTAGCTTAGTGATAGAGGCTACAATTTTTGAAATCTGGTTAATGCCTCTCCAATAAAAATGATCAAATCTATGGAATATTTGCATATCTTTTAAATTTCTGGGGGTAGGCCAATCTAAAATAGCCTGAATCATACTGGGATCCATGTTCAAACCTTGGGGTGAGATGATACAATACAACAGCTGTATGCATGTCTATTCAAATATTGTTTTTCTCAAATTTAATGTACAGTTTGTTTTGCCATAATTGCTTTAGAACCATGCAAAAATGGTTGATTAGTTGAAAAGATGAATATAACTTCGACCAATTTCTAGTGACTTATCTCTAAGTCTCAGAAAACATAATTTATGAAATGTTGGAAGGTCCATTACAAATTCCAAAAGGCATTATTAAATATTATATTCATAATGTGCATACCATGTCCTGAATGCAAATGACTCATCTCCAGGTTGAATACAAACAAGGTTATATGCACCTTGAAAACCAAGTTTAGTGACTGTTTTAGCTGTTCTCAATCTTTAAAATAATTTGGGGATCAACAGTAATGGGTTAGGATTTTATACTGTAATTTTGTTTAGGCCCCTATGGTCAATGAATGAAAGGTCCCATTCATGTGCACACCGGAAATGTTCTGTTTCATTTTGTATTAATTCATTATTTATTTAATTTTGGTTTTGTCATATTCTTTCTGTTGAACTGGTTTGTTTTCAGAATTTGTTTAGTATCTTCAGCATTAATTTTGTATATTCATTTGTCCAGGTGGATTTGAACAAATTTGTAGTTTTCTCATAAGATTGCTAGATCTATTATATTTTTGGACGCAGTGGAGTAAATATAATAATATAATTTAGCAGCCTCAAATTTTTCAAATCTAAGAATTGCATTAGCCTGTGGAACTGAACAAAATGACTATAATAATTACAAATATAATTTAAACCACAAATTTACTTGAATCCAAATTAATTCAGTTTTCAAATTAATTTGCTAATTTACCGATAAACCCAAACTGCTGTCGCATCATGTGATGTCAGGATGAAACAAATTAAATAAATGCATTTCTTAATTTTGTAATAACTTGTTTCAGATACGTTGACATTCGTTACTACACTACTCAATTTGGAAAATTCAGATACATCTGAATCTTTGAAAATCAAATTTTCATTTGAAAATTAATTCATAACGACATGACACTCGCATGTCTAGTCACATTTTACTGTTTGAGGAAGAATAAAGAAGAATAAAGGGACACCAGCGGGAGATGAAGGGTAGATAAAACCTTTTAACAGATTTTGTTGTAGAGATTACCTTAAAACTCTGAAAATAAAATTTTCATCTGAAAATTACTTTGTAACAAACAAAACTCACATGGCTAGTCTCATTTTACTGTTTGAGGAAGCATAAAGAAGAAGAATAAAAGGGACACCAGCAGGGGGATGAATGGTAGATAAAACCTTTCAACGGATTTCCTTGTAGAGATTACCTTAAAATTTTCAGCTCTGGTTCTGAAAGAGTATATATGGCCAAATGGGACTGGAGCCCCTGACAAAATGTTCTTTTGGGAAATAAATTCAATGTGGTGGTAAATGGTATTCTTATTGCATGCATCTTTAAAAGCTTTGTAATTAAGAGGCAATTTTTCAAGATTAGTGGTTGTAACTCCAATAGCAGCATGTGATACAGTATGTCCTTCTTTAGACAATGTTCTATGACAGTGACTTGAATAAAAGGTAAAATACTGTGAATGGGATCATCAAAAATCAAGTCTATATTTGCCACAAAATTGTCCGCCTTCTCCAAGCAAGAGGAAACCAATCCTTGAAAGCCTTGAAGCAAACCGGAAAGGTTGCAGCTGAAAATGTTGACATTGCTCCAGGAGCAGGGGCGGACTGACCATTCGGAAACTCGGACACTGCCCGAGGGCCCAGGGTCAGTAAGGGGCCCCATGAGATGCCCCTGGTAGCTTTCATAGGCTTTTTTGGGTGTGTTTTGAGTGTGGGCGAGGACACAGGGGCCCAATGATCCCCTATTGCCCAGGGGCTCCATGAGTTGTCAGTCGGCCCCTGTTCAGGAGACATCTGTAATGTTTAGGTTTCCCATTTAATTTAACAGATAGTGGAATATGGGCCTCTGTTGAATAGTTGACAGTAGCTGCTTGTTGCTGTAAAAGTTGTGATTGGAAAGTGATTATTTTTGTAATTCTTGCACTTGTGCCTTTAACTCATTATTTACTTGGCTATGGTTTTAAACAGCTTCTTTTAGGAAAAACAACATGGTCACTCAGAGATCCTATCGTTGTGGCAGTCTTCATTTGGGCCAGATTATTCTGTTAGAAATTTACCATAGAGAGCAGAGACCAGCAGTCAGAAACTTTGGGCTAGGCACAGTTCTTAGTGAAACAGAAATCAAGTAACCTATATCACAAGGCACAGAATCAGAATTGAGGTTACAAGCCAGGGTCAATGCAGGTGGCAGAGTTAGCATAGGAGTGATAAGTCAACGTCAGTGGAGCACAATAATCTAGCAAAGAAACAGGGATGTCAAGTCAAGCTTCAGTCCTTGGCAGACTGAAGTTGCAGACTCCGCTCCTGACACTTGACCTGGATGCGAGTGTGGACTGAAATAGAAGTTCCCACTGGTGCAGTATAGAATAGTTACATTTATTTCTGTGGGAGAAATTCATTTTCTGCTGGTAACATTCTTCACTTCAACAGATTGCCCTATAATCGCCTGACAGACAGTTCCTGCCCCCAACTGGCTTCTGGAATAAGAAATAACCAGACACTGAGGACACTGAACATGTGTGGGAATAATCTGGAGGGTCCTCATTTCAGGGATCTGATGGCAGCTCTGACAACAAGCCGGATAGAGGAATTACAGTGAGTGAAACAGGACTAAGACAATAATATTCTAGGACAGTTTGATATCTAAACCACATAAATAATATAGAAATATGATATCATCAAAATATATTTTTAGACTCCATAAATATCCAATCCCTGTCTGTTGCCTAATTCTTTGCTCTGACCACACTCTGTTACTATCCATGAAAAAATATTTTCCTAAAACCTTGTTATAATTTAATATTCCATTTTGTCTGGTAACTAGTAAAATAGATGAAATTATACCCGGATGAGGTCAAACCCGGGGAATCAGATATTACTGCAGTGAGCAATCAGACTTATACAAACTTTCTATCACCTGACATCCACTATTCATTGAAGGATATCCACATTATTTCATATGAGTACAGAGCTCTTACTGGCAGAAATGGATAGCAAAAAAAATTAAAATCATTCTGTTCAGTCACTAGCAATGCTGACTTTGGCCTCACACTGTCTCCTGTAGGGTTAGTAGCATATCCCTGTATTTCATTTTGAAAATTTCATAACCTTATCCTATGAGCTTCCTGTCTTATTAGCAGAGAAAAATAGAATATCAGACAAAAATCATCCCATCCAATCACTAGCAATGGTGATTCAGGCCTCACACTGTCTGCTGCTACGATTCATGCTCCATACAGCGCTGAGCAAACCCTTTGGCGCTCTATAAATACTGTATGATAATATAATAATAATACACAAGGAAATGATAGCACAATACGAGTCTTGTCAGTGGTATTCTGTGGTCATCTTGTGTATGGAGATATCACTGTCTGTACACATGGATGACAATATTGGGGTGTCTACTCCATTATGTCATTTTTCCTATAAAACTTTATTTACTGGAGTTTTATAAAGTGATCTAATATAAATAATTCCAATAAAGAGAAAATGAGTTGCATTCATTTCTGGGGGAGACATTCATTATCGTCTGGTAACATTCTTCTCTTCTTCTACAGATTGGATAATACTCACCTGACAGACAGTTCCTGCCCCCACCTGGCATCTGGAATAAGAAATAACCAGACACTGAGGATACTGGACCTGTCTTGGAATAATCTAAAGGGTCCTCATTTCAGTGATCTGATGGCAGCTCTGACAACAAGCCGGATAGAGAAATTACAGTGAGTATAACAGGACTGACTGAGACAATAATATTCTGGGACAGTTTTATGTCTAAAGCACATAAATAATATGTAAATATAATATGATCAAAATACATTATTAGACCCCATAACTATCCATACCCAGTATGTTTTCTGACCCTTGAAAATGATCACACTCTGTTTTAAGCCATGAAATAGTATCTCCTAAAACCTTGTTAAACTATGATATTCCATATAGTCTGCTTACTAGTAAAGTAGATGAGATTATGGGAGGTCACATGCAGGGGCAATCTTATTTTACTGCATTGAGTCCCTCACATGAGCTTCTGGACACCTGACATAACCATCCACTATTTATTAGAGTAGTCAGTGGTATTTTTGTGGTCAACCTGTATATGGAGATATCACCGTCCCTACACATGGATGACAATATTGGGGTGTCTACTCCATTATAACATTTTTATTATAAAATTATACTTACTGGGGTTTTATAAAGTGATCTAATATACATGATTCCAATAAAGAGAAATTAGATCAATTCATGTAGAGAACAGTTACATTCATTCCTGGGGGAAAATTAAATTTTCTTCTGGTAACTTTCTTCTCTTCTTCTACAGATTGTATAGTAATTACCTGGCAGACAGTTCCTGCTTCCACCTGGCATCTGGAATAAGAAATAACCAGACACTGAGGATACTGAACCTGTCTAATAACAGTCTGGAGGGACCTCATTTCAGGGATCTGATGGCAGCTCTGACAACAAGCCGGATAGAGGAATTACAGTGAGTATATCAGGACTGACTGAGACAATAATATTCTGGGACAGTTTTATACCGCATAAATAATATATGAATATCATACTGTAATAAAAATGCATCTTTAGGGCTTGTTTACACTTGCTTTGATTTCAACATGCTTTTCAGTGTGTACTAAAGCTGTAGGTGCTTTAATGTGTTATTGATGCTTCTTTGAAGTTTTAATGAAGCTTCACAAATGTCCTTTGTGTTAATTTTCAATTGTTTTAAAGGGGCCCAGTAGAACCCCAGCTCACTAGTACGCATGTTCAGCAGATCTCCAGCTCATTAGTACCCTCATTCAGCAGATCCGCAGTTTATTAGAACCTTTCTTCAGCAGATTCCCCTGCTCAGCAATACCCCAGCTCTGCCGAAGATCCACTCAGTAGTAACCCTCAGCTTTGCCGATCCTCCACTCATTAGTAACCCCAGCTCTGCTGATCCCCTGCTCATTAGTAACTCCCACCTCTGCTGATCTCCCACTTAGTGGTAGCCCCCAGCTCTACTAATCACCTTGCTTGCTGATCCTCCTCTATCTCTGGTCCCCGCTCACCTGCTATATTGCTCCCATTCTGCTGGGGGGGAAGGGGGAGGAAAGAAAGGGGAGGAACAAGGACTGGTAAGTCAAAGACTGACCTTCAAACAACAATAATGTAGCTAAAAAGAAACAGCTCAAAAAGTTTACACCAAGTCCATCTTGCCAACAGGAACTTCCATCAACCCCTAGAGCAGGGTGCTAGTATGGTAGATGCTGGCTGACATTTAACTTCAAAAAGGGGGTTCATAAATATGCCCAAAGTAATAATGGATTGCAGGCCAATAGGAAGGCTCGAGATGTGGTGGCTGCTGAACTTGATCTTCTCTCCACTACACGAGCTGAGAAGACCTTATGTTGGGCCGGACATAGGTTTTGTACATGCGCCAATAAACCGGGCCAATGTTGGCCAAGAAACTTAATTCGCTTGGTCGCACGCATAAACCTGTTCAACTCCGAATGAGGGGTGGTGGCCTTACCTCGGACCTTGTGAAGATTACTCATAGATTTGCAGATTTTTTTGTCCTCTCTTTACCAAAAACCGAACACCTTTGACGCTGAACATGCTGATAGTTTTTTCGCTGAGCTGCACCTACCCTCTTTATCCGTTGCAGACTGACATGCCCTGAATGCAGAGATCTCTGAATCTGAACTCTACCAAGCCATCAAATCTTTGAAGGCCTCCAAGGCTCCAGGCCCAGATGGGTTTTCTGGGCTTTACTATAAAAAATTTGCCAGCATTCTGGTTCCTCATTTGACGGCCTTTTTCATTTCTTTCAAGCAGGGTTCCCAGCTTTCTTTGGAGTCTCTTCAGGCGCATATTACTATGATCCCTATGAAAACTGAAGATGCTTTTGAACCGCAAGCTTTGAGACCGATCTCACTGCTAAATGTGGACTTCTGAGCACCCAAATTAATAAGTATCTACTCTCACTTATTCATCAAGATCAGGTTGGCTTTGTTCCAGGGCGACAAGCTGCTGATAACATCCGTAAAGTCATCCATCTTATTCATATTTTACATCGCTGCAGAATACCAGGGTTCCTTTTATCCCTGGACATTTATAAAGCCTTCGATTCACTTTCTTAGGAATATTTGACATATACGCTGTCTACAGGGGTGTATTTACCACAAGGCAAACAAGGCATTTGCCTAGGGTGGCATTTTTCAGGAGGGCAGCACCTCCCCCAGGAAGAAGGGACATGCACGCAATGGGAACCAGGTGGGGTCTAAGAGAGACTGCGGGCTGCTTGATGGTGTATGCAGAGCCTGACTCTCATTCCCGTGGATGTCCGGAGCTGTGAAGGTGAGCGTCTCTCTGTTGCCAGGGGGATGGTAGTGGAAGGGTCTCTCGGGTGGGGGGGGGGTAGGGGTGTTGTTGGTCAATGTCTCTCAACGGGAGGAGGAAGAGGGGTGGTGATGGTCAGTGTGCCATGGTGGCAGATGATTTTTGTGTTGCCTAGGGCAGCACAAAACCTAAATACACTACTGGCTGTCTAGATGGGGGTTTGGTGACACATTTCTGGCTTGGATCTCAGCTTTATAGTCGTCTCCCTCGGCCTGTGATAAATATGCAGGGTTTTTTTCCTCATCTTTCCCTATTTTCAGGGGCATAAGACAGGGTTGCCCATTATCACCTGCTCTTTTTGTTCTCGCTCTTGAACCTTTAGTTGCAGCAATTCAAAATCACCCAGATATTTCTGGTGTTCCCTATGCCGGCACTCAGTACAAGGCCAACTTTTATGTGGATGATGGTTTTAACCTTTTGGTTTTAACCGATCCTCTCATCACTCTCCCCCAATCTCCAGGTCATATTGGACCATTTTTCGACTATATCTGGCCTTCGCATCAATTTGTCTAAAACCACGGCATTGATTGTTACGCTCCCTTCCGACCTGGTTGAACGGTTGCAGACACAATTTACCTACCGTTGGGCATCCCATTCTCTGGCTTATCTTGGCGTTACACTTAATTCCTCCTATTCTGCCTTATTTTCGGCTAATTACCCCTCTGTTACTCTGTTACTTCCCTGCTTCATTCTTGGCAGTTTCCTTCTTTATCATGGATTGGCCGGATACATGCTGTCAAGATGACTATCTTGCCGAAGATCCTGTACTTTTTCCGCACTCTCCCTATTCATGTCCCTGCGTCTTTTCTTCGTGTACTGCAAAGCCGAATTCTCAGTTTTATTTGGGCTCATAATTGTCTCAGAGTGCCTAGAGCCACTCTGTATACTCATAGATTACAGGAAGGTTTGGAAGTTCCACATATTTCTAGATACTACTTAGCAGCTCAGATTTCCCAGTTCTTTATACCTCCTGCCACAACAGATATCCCGTTATGGGTGCTCTTGGAATTACCCAACTGTGCTCCGCTTTCCTTAACTACATTGCTTTGGCTCCAGCCTAAGTTGCGCTCTCTGGATTTGAGCCCTATCATGCTTCACAGTTTACGAACCTGGGATTCTGTAATATATTCGGGTAATTTGATTTAATAATTTCTACCTCTTTTGCCGATTACGCATATTCCTGTATTTCCGCCAGGCCTAGAACATCCCCCTTCTTTCTCTTGGTGGACCTCCTATGGCATTGTTATTGTACATGGTTTTCTGAGTGTTCGTACGTTTCCATCATGGGAGTCTCTTTGAGAATCAAGGGGAGTCCTGCTACGGGAATATTATCAGGATTTGCAATTGCGCCACTGGGTCCTATCCCTCCGTGGTACCTCTACATACCTTTACTGCAAAGCGCCCTTTGAGCACATTTTGTCAGCATTCCCCAGGTCTAATTTCTGTAATTTATGCCTCCCTTAATAGTAGGTCCTCCTCACCACCCCTGTCCTATGTTTCTAAATGGGAGTGAGATCTGGGTGTCTCGATTGCGGCTGAGGATTGGCGTAGGGCCTGGGGGATGGTAGCGAAATGTTCATTCAATACAGTCACTCCTGAGGCAGCCTACAAAGTACTCCTGCGGTGGTACTGGGTCCCGGCTCGGACTGCTCACTTTAATCCGACTGGCGGATATAGGTGTTTCCGGAACTGTGGTCTACGCGGGGATGTCTTGCATATCTGGTGGTTGTGTCTGCGATTGATAGGCTTCTGGTCTAGGGTTTTTGGTTTGCTGCAAATGCTATTTCATATTAGGATGTAGGGATGCAAGGGTGGCCCTCCTGGTATTGCCCAATTTTGGGACTGTCTAGGTCTAAGCAGAAATTGGCATCCTACCTATTTATTTCAGCCAAATGTGCTATAGCTCAAGCTTGGAGAACCCCTTTGGTTGTTTTCCAGGGGGTGAAGACCCGAATGAATGCTATGTTGATCAATGAACAGATGTCTAGCATTCTTCATGATTCTCATCTGAGATTCCTTAAGGTTTGGGAACCTTGGATACATTATTCCTTGCCATCCCTGCCTCCTACTAGTTATGGCCTCTTATAGTCACTGCCTGTGCTAGCCCTGGATCTGTGATTCTTCTAGTTTCTCTTCCCTCCATGTTTTCTTTCTGGTTCCTTTTTTTTTTTTTTTTTCTTTTTCCTTTCTTCTAACTCTTTCTCTTTCCTCTTCTATTTCCGGTAATATGCTAATATGTTGGATTACTGCTGCTAATATTTGGTTCGGCTTTTTGCTGTCCCTCCTTCGTTATTTGACTAATACAAGTCAGCTGGATGTATCTGTTTATGTGTTATTGTTC